GGGAGCTCGGGAGAGATAGCAAGGGGAGAAATGCCAGATGTAGGTGATGGGGAGGAAGGCAGCAAATCACACTGCCAAGTGTGTACCTATGCAACAATTTTGCATGTTCTTCACATGTACCCCAAAACCTAAAATGCAATAAAATAAATAAATGGGAAAAAAATTAAAACAATTAAAAAAATAAATAAATAAAGCTGCATAAATATTTTAATGTGACTATCAAGCATTTTTAATACAATGTTAAGTGTTAGAACAGACAATACACAGGGTATATTAGTACAGAGGGGAGACCCTTTATTTAATTTAGTCAGGTCAGAGGGTGCCTAAAAACAATAACATCTGAATTGAAATCTGAATAATAAGTGCAATTTAACCAGGTGAAAAGAGGTGTAAGAGGTAATTTGGTCAGTGGAAATAATGTAAATAGAGTCACAAAGATGGTGGGACAGTATTCACTATTTGAGGAAGCTCTTCAGTATCTAGGCCATAAAGTTAAAAAGTGCAAATCATGCATGGTGGGATTGGCAGATGGCATGTAGGAGTTAATAGAGAGGTCAATTGTGGGGATTTTAAATTCTGTGTTAGGAACTCTACATTCTATCCTAGCTCAACTGATAAATCTTAGGTTGGAGAGTAATGCAGTTATATTAGCAATTACAAAAGAGTGCCAAAGCTATTTTGTAGAGAATGGGTTTGGTAATTGTGGTGGCAATAATGGAGATGAGAAGATCAATTGGGAAGCAATCAAGTAATCCTAGGAAAGAGGTATGAGACGAGTGTATGAATGCAGCAATGGGAATAGCAAGAAGGAATAATACCTGCCATATATTTAGGAGTTAAATTTGGCAGGAGCTGAAGACTGAATGGATATGGAAGTTGAAGAAGAGAATTTTTTGCCTTGATAACCTAAGTATATCATAGTAACATTAAAAGAGAACTGTACAATGGAGGAAAGGTAGATTGGAGAGGATGATGAGTTTGGTTTTCAATACGTTATATTGGGAGGGTTTGTGGAATAAATTATAGTGGTGCCCAACATGAAACTGGTTATTCTAGTCTGAAGCTCAGGGGAAAACCAAAGCTTCACATGAAGTAGTCATTATTCTAAGGAACAAAAACATTATTATATGGTAGGTTAGAGCTGACTTTAGTGGGTACTTGTTACTTATCTCAATGTCATTTCTATCTTTTTCAGTACTCACTTAAAACATTTTGATGGGGACCTTATCCTATGTTGGATCCCTACTGTAATGTAATTAAATACACATTATATATATATTTTAAAAGAATGTCTCAATATAATTCTTATTTACCTGCCAAACATTTGATGAATGCCTACATGCATACTGGGTATTGTGCTAGTAGCTCCAAACAGAGAAATAAATAAGATAGCCGCTAATATCAAGGGTCTTACAATCTAGTCAAATATATGGAAATTAAATTAAAAAGTGAAATAAGTTCAAAACAAAAACATGCAATGTAAAAAGATATCATGGAGGAAGAAGGGATTAATTCACCTTATGTGTTTATACAGGGACAGGAAAGTTTCCTAGAGAAATGACATCTGAAATGTCTTTTTAAAGGTGAAGAGGACTCTGGTTGATGGGGCACAGCACTAGGGAGGATGGGTTATTTTGGGTAGAGAAGATAATATGGTTCCTTGTGTCACAAGCAATCAGCTTGATGCATTTGGAAATTAAAATCTGGCATTACCTGAGCATGAAATGGAAGAGAGATGATCAGTTGGAGTTGTGGTTAGAGAGGGAGATAAAATCTGTTCACGCAAATTGTACAAATATCTTTCTGTACACAATAGTTCAGTTATCTAAAGGTTTCTACATAAAATAGTGTTTTTGAATTATGGAGAGGAAAATTGGTGGACCAGGATGACAGGCAGAAGAATTGAACATGAAAAGTAAAGTGAGGAGGTCATATAAACAACCAAGATCAGATTGAACCTTGACCTTAAAGTGAATTAATTTCATTAAGTGGTCACTCATCTAATTTAAGCACATTTTAGGTAATTTTAACCTAGATTGACTAGTATTTGAATGAGTCTCTGTCTCAAAATAGACAGTCTACTATGTCCGGTCCCTAAATAACAATACTGCTTGTATTCTCTCAGGTTTTGCCTCTTTTCCAACAGGGCTACTCCAACCTTGTCAAATGTGGTTCTGACACTGCACTCATTTTCTGCTATCTACTCTTTTTTCACTTGACAGATTCCCAAAGGATGTATTATGTTCCTTAAGTAACTGCCTAGTTTTCTGTCACAGAATCAGTGACTGCTTTCTTAGGTATAGCTTTCTGAAAAGGCTGACGTGATGAAATCTTTTACTGTTTGTGTAAGTTCTACCAATGGCTGATACCATTACACTCATCAAGCCTATAGTACTATCCTAGTATTGCAGAGTGGTTCGCCATCTTTTGCATGACTTTTTGCATAAATAGTTCCAGAATATACAGAATCATAAGCATAGTTAAAAGCCCCTAAGTAATAGTTGCAAAAACTTCTAAGGATGCTTACAGATTCTTCTGAGTTGAAGTATAACCCGTGGTTCACTTAGGGCCACCAGAAATCATTACATGCTCACAAAAATGTCAAATTACTTAGGACTTTCATGTTTATATTGGGTGATAAATTATTTCCAGATTTTCTTTAAAAATAAGATAGATTTTTCTTTACTTGGACTATCCAGCTAATCCTGCCTGAAGATCAAGGAATGTGATTATTGTCCATATACTATTTCTCAGAAATTATGACTTAATATGTTATAATATGTGTGAATGTATATAAATAAACAGGTAGTAGTAATTGTTTTATTGTACAGAAATACAAATCCATACAAATAGGTAAGGCTATTCTCAAAGCATGGTAGCCCTAAGATTATCTTTCCATGGATCTAAACCTAGTTGTTCTTCTCCTTACATATCTGCATATGGTACTTTTAGAATTGTCTTCCTGAAAACCTTCTAAGTGGCAGGTCAAGTTGATGAAGAAAGAGGTCTGTGTTCCCTGCTTATGTTCTGATTTTCTCCTTCAGATGAAATACTCTTGTTATTCAGATGCTACTGTGTTTCATGGAAATCTTCAGGTAGTATATTTTACCTGAACTCTTCCCTAAGATTAGTCTTAACTAATCTACCATTGTCTAAGAATTTGTAATTATAACATGGACATTGTAATTAGGCACTTCATTGTGTTATAGAATTTTATAATTTTCACTGATTATTTGAGAGTATCAGTCTTACCCACAGTGATTCTATTAACTTCTCAATGACTCTCAAAGACTTGAAGAAAATCACTAGCATATCACATTGGTAAATTTCAACAAGTGTTCCATGTTTCAGAACAATCGTTCATTAATGAATTCATTGAATAAATATTTATTGGGCTCCTAAAATGTGACACATACTGTTTTAGGCAATGGAGATATAGCAGTAAACAAAACAACAGCAAAAAAATTAGGGCATCACTGAATTTTAATTCTAGCAAGGTGATTCCAGACAATAGATAAATAACTTAAATATACAGTGGGTTAGTTTTTCATATGAGAAAAAAAAAAGTAGAATGTGCTTCTATTGAATAGTAATAGCACTATCTTATTTTTAAATAGGGTGGTCTGGGAAGGCTTTGTTGACAGTATATTTAAGAAAAGACCTAAAGGTGGTAAGGGAATGAGCATTGAGGATATTTGTGGTGGAGAGTTCTGGTCAAATGAACAGAGACAAGGCTACTGAGATATGGTCATGGAGCTCTAAAGGCACCAAATTTCTTAGGAAAGTTATATTTACATGTGACCAAGATATTTTTCTGGTGGTCTTTTACAAAATAGATCCTTATTTCCTAGGATGTCAAGCCAATCTTATCTAACTTCTTTTGGTCCTATCTGTTTATTACTTCTTAGGAAAACCTTTCCTAACTACAAAGACTGGATAACATCCTTCTCTATGCATGCCCTTTGTGTTGAATGTATCTTTACACAAAATTGCTTATTTAATCATCTATAATTACTTGTTTAATGGGCAACCCACTAGAATGTAAACTTCATGAGGGCAGGATCTATTTTGTCCATACCTGCCTGCCTGTCTCCTCAGCACTAAATAAAACCAAATAAATAACCAAAGCACCACTTGTTCACATACGGTGCACACATAGGAAGTTTAACCAACTACCTTAATGAGGAAGGGGTCATATTTTATATCCTCATTGTACCTAGACATAACCGTTTTTGACTGATTCTTGCTATTAAAAGGGAGAGCTGAGTTCATTTGGAAGAAAATGAAGATTTCATGAATGAACAAGGATGCAAGACACTTTCTGAAGCCCTAAGTCACTCCTGTAAATACTCAAAAGAGAATATGATCAACCTGAATATCAACATCAGCATCAACATCAACAAAAACACCAGATATACAAGTCCGTCCAGAAATATAACAGAAACTACTAAATTTCTATTATTCATTAGGCATTACTCTAGATGTTTGGGATACATCAGTGACCAAAACAAAGAAAAATTCCTCCTGATACAAAATGGAGTGTACATTCTTGGTCAGGAGAAATAAGTAAATTATATAATATTGTGAGCTTGTTAGTGCTAGAGGAAAAAACTGAAGTCCAGTAAGAGAAATTAAGAGTATATTTTCAAGTCAGGTGAACAGGCAGGCCTTCTTATGCAGGTAATATTTGATACACGTTGAGAAAAAAATTTTACTCTGAGAATGAGAGAAGTCAGCTTTGTGAGGGCAGTCAAATATTCTAGAAAATATTAGATCACATGTCTGAATGCAGAGGAAAACAAGGCTTGAATGAGTCAAGTGCATTAATAAGAGGAGGAGAAAGAGGACTTCTGTCTTGGACTTACAATTTAGGATTTAACTTTACAACAAAAGTAAACTATAGTTGCAACAAAATCAAAGAAAAAGTTATTTATTTGTTAAGAGAAGGCATTTTTAATAAAAAAAAATCAAGATATTTTATGATGAGAGAAGAATCTTACCATTTTTACTGATGTCGAGTTCTTTAAGATTAACTAAACTAGCAATAGTGGTTGGCAGATTTGAAAGGTCATTATCAGGAATACTTAGTTTTCGTAGAGCTTGACAGTTGAACAATTGCTGTAATAGAAAATAATAGTTAATTAGATCTCAATTTGGTTAAATTCATTCACAAACTCAGTAACAAAATTAAAGTCATCATCTTTATATACATAGTAGTAAAAGAGCTCCTTATAAAAGCCTCACGTTCTTCCATACTCAGCTTCTCAATTGTTTCTGAATGGCTTCCCATTACACTCCCATGTTAGTGCCTCTATTTTCTGCTACCCAGACTCAAACCCAAGATATTATATTTTGCCCTTTCTTTTACCACTCACATTCAGTGTGACACTGAATCCCCACCGACTGCTTTTTCTTTTAAGTAACTTCTAGAGTTGTCCCTTCTTTTCTATTCTGACAGCTACCAGGATTACCTCAGTTCTCCTTTTTCTGTGACCACATTAGATTTCATGAGTATCATTTTAATTTAATCACATCAAACAGTTGTTTATCTGAGATGCAAGAACTGCAATACCTGAGCTCACATTTCTTTTGGGCCCCCTCCCCCAATTATTTCATAAATATTTGGTACATGAGATATTTAACCTCTGATATTTGGTGAAAAAAATCACTTGTAATTCGTTCTGCCATCAGTCCAAAGTATTAGGTGGAAAAGAGCCAAGTGTTAAAGTAATAGGTGTGAAATCCAGCATGCTTATATTCACCGGTTGATGCAAATGCCTTAAAATATGAATTCTTCAACTTTACCCAAATAGGTCCAGGAAGGGGGTCAACAATCTGCATTTTTAACAAGCACATCAGTGACCTGGAAACTTTGACATAGGTGTTTGCATATCATATTTTAAGAAACCATAAATTAGATGGTTTTTCTCTGTCCAATTCATCTTGACTCCTGCCAGATATGAACAGCTGGGACAGAAATTTCTGATTCATTTCTGGAAGAATTATCTTAATGAGATCTTTTCTGTTTGACATTTCTAATTCTGTTTTGCTGAATTTCCACAGATGAAGTCTGGTATCCATGACTATGAAATTGGCCTACAGTACATTTAACTACCATTTGTTTTCACATGTAATTCATTATTTTTAGGCAAAAACAATGTAGCACATGGTTGTTATTTCTTAACTCATTAGTCTTTACAAAATGAATTGGGCTGATTGTTACTTAACATGAAATATGCAGTTTCTTACTTTGGGTCATGTTTGGTGCCTTACAAAGACTTTCTGCAACACTTCGTATAGTGTAGAATTAATTGTCAATATTTTAGATATAAATGTTACTGTTTCTTTTTATAAAACCTTAAAAAGAGAACTCAGATGCATACTTTGATGGATAGTTCCCACTATTAATTTTCCTTCTAAATAAATCGGAAAACAGATGCCTACACTCATGGTAAAAGTTAATTTATATTTATTCCAGTCTCTATCATTCTGTTATGACTATTACATCTATATCTGCAGGCAGTGTGGTCAGTTATAGATTCATAAATTTAAAAAATCAATTATCTTAGGACTGATTTTGGTAAAATTTACTAACAATTCTAGCCTGATTACTATTATATAACCATTTCAAGCCATGTTCATGCTAATGATTTTCAAAACACAATTTGTTTGTTATATAAATTTGCTTATCATCTCAACTAAATTCTGGAGTGTGTTCAAGAATTAATAGTCCCAGTATTAATAGTTCCAGTATTCTTTTTTAACTTTAAATGAAGTCACATCAGAAAGAAAAGACACAGAAACTTCTGAACAGCCTGTAACAAAAAGAATCCATGATCTCCTTGGTGTAGAAGCTAAGAATATGGTATTTGGAATCAGACTGATGTGTGTTCAATCTCGACTCATCTATTTACTACTGTGTAATCTTGGTCAAGTTACCTAACATCTTTGAACTCATCAGTTTCCTTGCCTATAAAATGAGAACAATACATTAGCTAACTTGAAGAATTGTTGAGAGAATTGTATGAATTAATACATTGATCAGTTCTAAGTCACATATTTTTTCACACATTAACATCTTTGATGATGGGAATGCATCCTACAGTCAGGAGTAAGTTATCATTTTTAGAAGTCTTTTTTACTTCCTTAATGGTACTACAATATTGATATGTCTCATAATCAATGGCCTTACGTTTGATGAAATACAGTGCTTGTGAAAATGTGAGACTGTGTTTGTCACATAGTAAAGTTTGATAGCTGTTAGCCATTATTAATATTTATGTACCAGATACAGAGGCACACCTATATAATATCTATCTATATATATATAAAATATATATAATAATCTCTATATATAATTATATATATTATATTATATATATCATATATATCATATATATGATATAATATATGATATATATTATATATGATATATAATATAAAATATATAATATATATATAAATCTATAATCTCTCTATATAAATCTATATATAATATAGATTATATATAATAATATATATAATATATATAATACATATAATAATATATATATGTAATTATATATAATATATATAATAATATACATAATAATCTATCTTTTACTTTTCTAGGTGATGGAGGCAGGAATCATGCCAGATCAACCTTGGTATTAACATGTTTCTTCTTTCTATACACCAAAGTGTCTGGTACAGTGTCCTGTACATAGTATATACTGAGGAAATATTTTTGAAATTATGCATAGATGATTAAAAGGCAGATAATGAGAGTGCTAAATACCAGCTGAGAGTAGTAGTTCACTGGATTGGAAGCTTCAGATAAAGGTAAACAGTCTCAAAGGAATCTAAATTTCATATATAAAACAGTGAATTCTTATAAACTATGATGTCTAAAAATTGGCAAAAAAAGGCATTTTTAACAGGTCTTTCAAGATTCAGGTTTTTAATTAAAATGAGGGATGATTATAAAATACCTATAATTCTTCATATAGTATAATTTGGCAAATAAAATTGATAGCCATTTTAATTAGAGTAAAACTGCTAGTGGTCATGGTAAACTTCTCAATGATTTTCAAAGACTTGAACTGAATTGAAGGCATAGTTATCCTGTCTTTCATTTGCTAATGGTATTTTACATTTCAAAAACAATACAATTGTTTTGAGTCTTAAAATATTTGTGTCCTAAAGTGCTCTTTTTTTCTGGAGCTAATGGAAGCAATTTAACTCTGAAGAAATTGGTTTGAGAAAAGTATATAATATAAATTACTGACTCCAAAGTAAACATTTAGAACTGAAACACAGCAATTAGGTGTCTTCTCTGAGAGCTAATACAAAGAAAAAAGCCTCAAAAGTAGAAAATAAGAATACATTTGGAGATAAAAATGTATATTCCAAAAGATTCCATTCATTTATTCATGAAAAACCATTTATTGATAATTGCTACAAACTAGACACTATACTAAGTACAGGGGAAACAACTACCCAGATTCTTTATACTTTATTATTCAGACATTAATATATTTTCATATTCAGCCATTAATGTACTTTAATATTCAGACATTTATTTAAGTTTTAATTCATTTAATTGAAATTAATGTTGGGACAAATATCAGTTGTAATGAAAATGCACAGGTAGGATATCTGCACCAGATTTTAAGGTTGATGGTGCTTGAGTTGATTTATGGAAGTATCTCTAGGAAAGGTGGATCACCAGAGAGCCACCGGAAGTTAGCCAGATGAAGGCTAAAGAGGCAATAATGTCATACCTTTGTTGAAACATCTAAAGATAATCCCAACTCAAGAATATGTAGCTCAAACTAATTTCAGATATTTGCTTGGTAACATGAGGAGATTTGAATCTTGGAGTGAATGGTCTGAGTCTACAGCATCTATATGCATCTAAAATATACTATTGAGTATCTATTATATGCTATGATTTGTCTTCAGCACTAAAGATAAAGGTATGAAAAGATAACAATTTATGTTTCAGAAATATGGTGAACTAAATATTGAAAGAGTAACCTTTTGGTACAGCAAAACTACACACACTCACACTCACCCACTGCTTTATTGTATAAAATGAGCTCTGACTATAATTTGAGGCAATTCTTTGAATTCCAGAATAACAAGAAAATTAACACATAGACTTACATGAGTCTGGATTTAGCTTTCACTCTGGTAGTGTCTGTTGGCCCCTGATGGCTTAAGCCTGAGTTAAAGATATTGCAAGTGGAAGGATAGAAGACTGCTTGGAGTCTGAACAGAGTGGAAGATTGGCTTAGAGACCACCCCCAGTGAGTGAACTAGAAAAAAACTGGGTCTGCAAAGGGATTTAGCAGGGGATATGTGTATTTCTCAGTCTTGGCTTTGAGTAAAGTGTGAAAAAGGGAGAAAAGGAAGGAAGGGAGGGAGGGAGGGAGGAAGGAAAGGAGAGAAGGAGGGAGGGAGGGAAAAGAAGAAAGAAAGAAATGGAAAAGAATGAAGAAAGGGAGTGATACAGTTTGGCTGTGTCCCCACCGAAACCTCATCCTGTAGCTCCCACAATTCTCACATGTTGTGGGAGGAACCTGGTGGGAGGTTATTGAATCATGGGGGCAGGCCTTTCAAGTTAGCTGCATAAATTTGCATAAATCATGAGGAACTGAATATTAATCACCAAGACAATGGGGAAGATGTCTTCAGGGCACGTCAGAGACCTTTGTGGCAGCCTCTCCCACCAAAGACCCAGAGGAAAAAAATGGAGCCCTGGGCCAGGTCCAGGGTCCCCATGCTGTGTACAGAAAAGGGCCAATGCAGAGCTAGGGCCATGGCTTCAGAGCATACAAGCCCCAAGCCTTGGCAACTTCCATGTGGTGTTGAGCCTGCAGGGGCACAGAAGTCCAAAATTGGGGTTTGGGAACCACTGACTAGATTTCAGAAGATGTATGGAAAGGCCTGGATGCCCAGGCAGAAGTTTGTTGCAGGGGCAAGGCCCTCATGGAGAACCTCTGCAAGCCAGTGCAGAGGGAAATGTGGGGTCAGAGCCCCCACACAGAGTCCCTCCTGGGGTACTGCCTAGTGGAGCTGTGAGAAGAGGGCCACCATCCTCCATACTCCAGAATGGTAGGTCCTCTGACAGCTTG